AAAAAAAAAAAATTTTAACATCTTATACAGGCATGGGTTCTGGAAGAGAATTTCTACGGCTATAATCTAAATTATGTGTGTCTGGGCACGTTCACTTTAGTATAAAAAAAATTAACCACTAGAGCATAGTAATGAGCATACCCCTCATGCTTGGTATCAAACACACAGAAACCTACATTTCTATGCGTTCCTATGTGGTAACCAAAAATAAACTCTCAGAACTCCTGTGAATATGATGGTTTATGTTTCATAGTAAACAGAAATAGAACTAACTGCTGCTTTCAGCATTTTATACTGACAATTTCTATTTTCAAAAGCAAACACACCTGAGACCTTGCCCATCTAAACCTATTTATTAATACCTTTGAAACAGTTAAAAGCACTAAAGTTCTAAAAGTGCAACTTAGTTTTAATTTGGGAAGAATTCAACAGATAACAGAAGAGAATGCAATTTCAACGTGCATTTAACAAAAATCGTTTGATTCTGAACTACTTCTCTAGTGGAAGAATAAATCACCAGTTAATAATTACTAGGTTGAACTTACAGGCATCTTCAAATTACTGCAAATGGATACTTCTGCTATACACGAGCATTTGTATTGTTAAGTAGGCCAGTTCTAAAGAGCAAAAGCCAGCCTCTAGGTGAACGAATGTAATAAATAATTACCAGTAAAAACTACAGAGATCTACAAACAATCTTCGTGAAATCTAAGTGAAAGCAATAAGCAACTATCAGGCCCTACAGAGAAGCAGATTTTGTTACAGGCATTATTTAAAAATCACATGGACCAACTGACTTGGGCAAAATAATAAAAGAGGTGCAAAAATAGTCCTTCTTTCTAAGCTTGAGAAATTACTACCATGGTGGAGTAGGACAGCTCTGTTACATGCTGCAAGTGCCCCAGCAACACCACTTTAGTGCACAGTTACCAGATTTAGCTTTGCATATTCAGTTTTCTGCCATTACAAAAATTAACTTTCTCTTTAGAAATATGCTCCAAATTTATGTAATATGGTACATGGTCATACATTCTAATTTATAAAACTGAGATCAGAGTTCAGAAATATTATGCCTCTTTACTTACTGCCTCTTTAATTTCACAGGTGAAAATATGTATCTGAAAATCTTCTGATCCATGGGAACTCTCGGTAAATGCAAAGCAGTTGCTCTCTGCTGTCCCATCATGTCCACGTGCACAGAATAACACTTTATAGATTGGAAAAGAAGCTATCTCCATATTGTTGGATTGGTCTATGATTCTGCAAACAATGAGAGATGAGATAAAATATTAACTATCAAAGAACAAAAGCCAACAGTTTTACTACTCCAATAAACATATAAACATACTTATCTTAAAATCACAAAATAACCCATATATATACACAAAAATTCTTCACCTTCTTTTGACAATTACTTAATTTTTGTGTTTCCTATGATCCAATTCATTTACTCCCAAAGCTAAGTAGACACTGGCTGGAAAAAAAATTTGTGTCACCCATCCCTAAATGCTAGTCTTGTTCTAATATGGCAAAAGGAATGCCAGTACAGAACAGCACAGACCACCCTCTAGAGAGTTCATTCCTATTTAGAGCAGCACCTGTGTGTTTATCCAGGCCCGAGGTCAGCCTTCAACCAAGACCTCTTTCACCCCACAAAAGATCAGAGTGGTTCCAAAGATGAACTTAACAACAGAGGTAAAACATCTGTGGGATTTAGGAGCGAATAATTGTCTTTTCCTGTACAAATCCTCAGCCCTAGATTGATCTAAAACTCAAGATGAATTCAGGATGTCATTCTGTATAACTGAGGGGTATCCACTAAGAAAAGAGAGGAAAATCAAAACACTAAGTCTTTGTCAAGGTGTGTTTGGCACTTTGAAACTTAACAGATAACATTAAAAGGCATTTTGACATTTTTAAGATACATCATAATAACAATACTATCTACAAAACCCTTTCCTGAATAATTCAAAGCATTTTTTATCAAAACCTTATAAATACATATTATTTTTTTTTGTTACTTAGAATTTAACTGTTTTGTCATATTCTAAATTTTAGACAGGCAGGCAAATCACAAAAGGTTTGAAAAAAGATTAAATCAGTCTTCAGGGAATATTATTGTTACACAATAGAACAAGTCATAAGAAATTTCTCTTGTATATTTCTCAGGTATATTTGGTCTTCATCCACAGTTCCTGAAAACACTTCAGAGTTAAAGGTGAAATGGATGTTGTAAGGTTGGAGGCACTGGAGGGAGAGGTGAGCACATCGGACACTGATGACGTGTGCCAAAGTCCCTAGCTGCCGCCCCTCCCAACCTGAAAAATGTGCCTTAGGCTAGCCAATCCTCGCACCGCTATAAATCTATGCTCTGCCTCCCCCTACCTTCTTTAAAAACTCCCCGCCTGTCTAGTTGCTTGCAACTTCCCCAGCCTGTTTCAGACTGGTGAACCTCGCCCAGGAATTGCGCTCAAATAAACTGCCTGGCCCTTTGTTGCCTCTTGTCGCCTGCTTATTTCAGTTAGAATTTATCTTACAGATGTCTTTTCATGTTAATGAAACTTTTGAACCCCACCCAAGGTCAGAGACTGGAGGCTGAATCAGCCAATGGCCAATGATCCCGTCAATCATGAGAATGCAATTGAAGCCCTCACAAGAACCCATGAGAAGAGCATATCACACTCTTGGATCCTGTTTCTCTGTCAGAGAAAGCTTCCATGCTTGGGGAACCAGAAAGATTCATCATGCCAACAAGCCAGGCTCCAAGCTCCACAAGAATAGAAGCTCCTTTATTTGGGACCTTGCTCTGTATTATCTCTTCATCTGACTATTAACTTATATCCTTCAGTGTTTTCCTGATTTCTGTGAGCCGCATTAGCAAATTAATAGAACCTAAGCGGGAGGTCATTGGAACCTCCAGTCTGAACAGGATTGTCAAAAGCATAGGGTAAACTGCCTGGGGCTTGTAACTGGCCTCTGGAGTAGGGGGTGGAGGGCAGGCTTGTAAAATGGAGCTCTTAACCTGGGGAATCTGGTGCTGTCTCTGGGCAGATAGTATCAGAATTGAGTTGCATTCTCAGATACTGCTCGTATTGTGCATGGGAAATGCAACAGGAAGAGAGACAATAAACAAAAAAGCAAATAAATATATACTATCAAGTCAAGGGAAAGGACTATGAAGGAAAAAAAGGCCCAGTAAGGGGAAATAGAGGGATAGTTATATGATATAATCAAAGGAGGCCTCTTTTGATAAAATGTTTATTGACGTGAAACTGAAAAGAAGCAAAAGAGCCACTGAGAAACCAAAATTGCTTGAGCGAAAGGAAGAGAATATACATAGGCCCTGCGGCAGTAATCATGACTGGGTTTGAGAAAGAGCAAAGAAGCTACTATGACTGGAATGTAGTGAATGAATGTAGTGAGAGAGAATGAGGGGGAGAGAGCAACAGAAAGGTGGGTTAGAGAGGGAATGAGTGAAGGTTAGGAGGAGTAGGGCAGAAGATCAGGTCAAAGCACTAGGTCATCAGTGGCCAGACATGGTAAAGATTTTGAATATACTCACAAGAATAACTGAAGGCCACTGACTGGAGGGCTAAGTGTAGGAGAATAATATTATCTGACTCACATTTAAAGAACTTCAAGGTTCACATGACATCAAATATTATTCCTAATTAAGTATGAGAAAAAGTCCTTTTTCTTCTTTCCAGTCTGATGTAAAGAGCTTAAAATTTAAGGCTTGCTCTAGTTTTTCAAACCACTGATAAGATGAAGGAAGGTTTTCATGTTCCTTCAGAATATTCAGGTATTTTTATGATTATAGTTCCATTTTTAACATTCTTAGCATAATTTTGCAAATGCCTCTTGCAAATAAGAAACACAGTTTGAGCCTAAACATGGTTTATTTTGCATGCCTACAGAGTAAAAGTGAATTCACACTATGTTCTAGGCCTGATTTATGACATAACATTATCACCACCATCCAAAGGGCTTCATACATGTCAAAGGAGAAATAAGGACTAGAGCTTACCTCACAGAACCTTCTGGCACATTTGGCACATACAAAGTAACAGGAAAGGGGTACTGACTGGAAGATTTCATAGTTGACATTGCCCGTAAGGCCTCCACTTCATTACGTGGGGAAGAAACCTTCATACACCCTAAGTAGGTCAGTTTGTTAAATAAAACGCTCTCTTCTTCAGGTAATTCACTTGGAGAAGATGGTCTAGGTGTAGAAATTTCTGA